TAAGATCCTGATTTTACTTTGATGTCCCGCAGACTGCATCTGCATTGCAGACATTTATGCTGGCTATGGTGCTCTATCCTGACGTCCAAGCCCGTGCTCGTGCAGAAATTGATCAAGCTGTGAGGCATGATAGAATGCCGTGCCTTGATGATAGGGCGTCACTGCCCTACCTTGATGCCATTCTCCGTGAGGTCCTGAGATGGTATCCTCTCGCGCCTCTAGGTCAGTCTGCACAATTATAACTCTGAATAATTGACCCCTGGCACAGGAATTCCACATGCGACATCAAATGATGATGTTTATGACGGGTACTTCATACCCAAAGGTTCGAAGTCGTATGAGTCGAGGTTGCTGTTGACTCATCTGTAGTTTGATCAGGTGCGATAGTAATAGTCAATCAGTGGTATGTCACGGCCGAGTCCATATAACGGCGACTTGAGCTAAGCATGGCTCAGGGCACTATCTCGGGATGAAGACATGTTTCCCGATGCATCACGCTTCGACCCTAGTCGCCATCTAACAGTTGACGGGAAGCTGAAGGAACCTTTCGTCCACCATTTTGCCTTTGGTCATGGCAGGTGAATATTCCACACTTGCTATCATTTTCAATTATTCACTGACCCTCGCAGACGTATCTGTCCTGGTAGGCTGATTCATGGCTCATCTGGCAGTGTTGAGAATGACGAATGCCCTTGGCAGGTCGTTGGTTTGCAGAGAACAGTCTGTGGACTGCAGTTTCTGCCATACTCGCCGTCTTGCGCATCGATCATGCCAAAGACTCAGACGGAGACAGGATTGAGGTGAAGCCGGAGTTCAGTGCCGGCGTAGTGATGTAAGTGACCTAGTATGCATTAAAGGATCTGCGGTTGACTCTGCCGAAGTCGCCCTGAACCATTTCGCTGCTCGTTTGAAAGCGTGAACACAGCGAGAGAAGGACATCTTCGAGCGATGATGAATTCGAAGTAGGGTTCGTTTGTACTTGCGGTGGTCTGTCATATAATAGCACACGAATGTACAACAGCGCAGAGTGCACTGAATGGTAACGTTTTGCGGCCTTTGTCTGTCTCTCATGAACAAGATAATTGTTTTCGAGTCCGTTGACTGTTCAGAAAAAATTCTGATCCGCAGTGAAAACTCTTATAGGAGACGTGAGCAAAGTAGGGAGCAGACACTATATGTATAACAAAGCCCCTGACAGGCAGGAAGATGAATGGTCTTAGGCTCAGTCAGTGTATTAAGTAAACGGTCAATAATCTTGAATGCATATAGCGATGTGAATTAAAATACCCAGTGGGGGCACTGAAATACAGCTGGGAGTCGGACGCTGATGTGAGCTTGATCTATAGGGCTATAAGTCGCAAGTTGCAACCAAGCGAGTAAGGTACCTCGTGAGAAACGATTTGTTTGCTAAAAAATGCGTGACGTTCACCAGTACTAGTGCCACTGCAACCCCGTGGGACGCCGCAATGAGTTTGCTGCTCGTGCGCGTGAGTCGTGACCCATTGCGAGTCTACGTACCCACACAGGTGGTCATATTTCAAACAAGGTCCATAGTCAAGTCGCTCTGTTTCGTGACCGTCATCCCAGACTTCCAGCGCACAAATTTCCCGGGCCATGTCAGACTCTACACTGTCTACGATTACCTCTACTTTGTGTCCCTTAAAGTCAGCCCTTTTACCATCTTCTGTGACGGAGCAAACTGCGATCCTGCACCTCATATTCAAGTTGCCAACGACGGACACGGTGGCGTTGCTTTTTCTTGAGGGATAACCTGCACATATCTGATCCCGCACTACCGTTTACTCAAATTCATGATCATGCCAGATTGTTCCGCACTACAGAACCATCTTCACCGGTAGCACTCGAGCGGTCTCAACACCATTCCAAAGTACTGCGCCTCAGGCTTGGACCTATGGCATTGGCAAACATTAAATTCAACAGTACTTTGCGCCCCGAAAGACACAAATTCATAAATGCCTCCATATCACGTCTGGTGATGCTGGTGAGATGGACGCTACTGACGATTAGTCCAATCAATATTTGCGAACTCCTAGGTTCCCACCTTCAAGGACTTCTGCGACCTCGATCAACTTCGGGAGCTGATTAAGAAGATTTCTGAGAATCAATATGTTTGATTCTATTTTGTCAGGAATAAGCACTCACTGAGATAACATGTGATCCAGGGTTGGGCTGTGATTCTCTGAGGACGAGGCTGGCACTATGAAACTGCTACACGGCTTGCATGCTTGCCCGTCATGTTGCTGACTCGTATGATGAAGATCCTGCAGTGCGTTTCTTGCTTTATCTCTCTGGTACACTCATGGTGTACTAGCATGTGTACACACCCGATCAAGTTCGGGCAGAGCAAGATCACTGAAGAACAAGACTCACACGTCGGGCTTCCTGTGAGGTCGTAAGTGAAAGCGCGTCTCTGACTTTTTCTCTCTCCTATGGACACTCATTTCTGCTTTTGGCCATGGGGTTGATACAGGGTTGATGTCATATATATATATTCACCAAAACACGGCAGCCTGCAAGACTTGATTTGGCTGTGCAAATTGATACAACGGCGATACATCAATTGATACAATGGTGATACATCAACTGTATGACGTAACTTGTGCTGCGCGTTTTACATCGGCTTTTAATCATCTTTTTTGGCACCCTTATCGTGCTGTGACCCGAAAAATCAGCGGGTGGCCACGGGTACTGGGAACTTTAGGATCAGGATTGGGCATCAAGACGTGTGCTTGGTGGGGTTACAGAGGCTGGTAGGTGAGATGAGTTATTTGTTTGGTATGTTTGGACCTTTTGTATCTTTCAATACTGATTTTCTGCATCAGGCCGACAACACGTGGCCTTTTTACAAGACCTCGAGCTCCAGAGAGCTCTTGCGTTCATCAGGCCCGAGCCGATACTCGTTGAGAATCATTGAGATGACAGGCATCCATCATGACATAGCGCCTAATATTATACTGATGTGAGCCACAGGATTTTATTTATACATAGACCTCCTGAACCGATGCAAGTGTGGTAATATAGATAGCAATGAAAGTCAAATACCTCAAATTGCGAACAGCTTTACGAACCTCAATGGTGTTCAAATAATATATACATATGCACTCCTATCGCCGATGCGGGAAGCGTGAGGCGATGAACGCACTGGATGGTGACGTATTTGACATGCACAACTACTTACGGCAGGTTCACCTTTCACCTATCCTCCGAATATGACCATAGTCTCAAACGATCCAACTTGGTGGCCGGTAATTGAATCATATAGCCTCTGCAGCTATTTCTTAGGTTCGTGTAGGGTTAGGCATGATGCTGGTTCCATTCTAACCTTCAATAAGGTTTCGCAGTTGCCACCTGTACCGTGGTGATATACGATTGGGGTGAGCAAGACGGTATCCAATAACTGCTGGTATCCTTATGATATTTCTAGCACTCAGTTTGGGAAAAGAGGTATGTTGATACCATTGCTGGAGCACCTCTTACTGATGGTGGTTTTATACTAGTATGAACTGATCTGGGTGAGAAGAGTCCCGTATTAGAAGATCGACATAGTAATGCAATTCACTCGGAGCAGAAGCAACGCTGGTCCCTCGTGACAATTCTCTATCTCGGTGTATGTGCATTATGTGATGAGCGCCATCTGCAAGTCGTGCTAACTTCAAAATATTTTAGGTACGCTACCTTGGAATGTCATACACTGTGTATGTTTGCAAGGCTACCAAATGATGCAGTACTAATGAGCCTTCTCTCACGATCAGCATTCACATGCTGGGTATGCCTCACATACGCTGTGTTCATTACTTCTGACTGGCTGGGTACAGAAAGTCTGCCGACAGTCTCCGCGACGGATAAAGTGAGTGGTCTGCATCGATGCATATGTTCCTGTCCAGACAGCTACGTTCCTATGTAGGGGTGAGTGAGGTTGCCGACTTGGTTCAATATAATGACCGCAATAGCTGTGAGTTTGTTTTGAATGTTTGGTCCTCCGAGGCTCATCATTACCTGGGGTTTTGCGGGCAATATACTGTACACCACACTAACTTGGACGACCGTGGTCGTAAGTGCCATGCTGAGCAGTGAGTTAACCAAACTGAAGTGTCTCAATGATATTGAACTGACCGAAACATCATGCAAGTCATCATTATCACTCGGTTGCATGTGATGTACCAGCAATCTAGGAAGATACTTGTCTTTCTCATTGTAATCTTCCTGGTTGTCACAGGCGCCTGTGGAGTGATCGCCGCAATAGGAAGCAAGTATACTGTAGGCCGTAAGTTTGAATAATGGTTGAAAGACATGAATGCGCGAGACTCATCAGACGATTACCAGAGGAGCTCATGGTACGCTGATCTTTGACTCAGTGACAGCTGCATATTTATCGTATCTACAGTATTCATCTTCGGTGGGATCTTATGTCTATGCTGGAATGCTGGAATTAGTGTCAATCACACAAATGTTTGTGCTTGGACCACGCCTCATCCTTAGCGTGCGGGACTTTAACGCTAAGCTGGTCACCGACTCCGATGCAGGAATCGACATGCCCTCAATGGTTTTCCAGGAGGGCGGCCGTGTGTAGCACTAGAAATGATCCAAGCAATTAAGACTTGTCGAGTACTCTGCCAGGAGCACAACCTTGGAACAATCCATTCCTCTCCTGTAAGCATAGCTAGTACGTACGATGCTGCCTAAGCCGTCAATGGACACTTCCAAGCTTCAGCCCCAGGGTTCAATGTTAGGATGTGGCCTGCTCCGTCAGTGCATGTGATTATAACGCTCCAAAGTGAACTGTAATAATCTGCGCTTCGGTTGCGTAACCCAAGGTCCTTGAATGACTCAACCTATGTAAACCGTAGTGCGAGTGTATGGGTTGCTGTCAACTGATATTCAGGTAGACCAACGTTGCAGCGGGGAAGAGCCCATCGACCGATCAACGATGTGCAGCCTGGTTGCGCCGGTCGCGAGATTTTAGAAATGGATCTGGTTTCTGAAGATTCAATGGGTTCGAAAGCAATTCTCTTTTTCATCAGAGACAGAGGCCGTGGAACCGTGCCATCCAGTGCACACTGCCATTGTACAATTATGTGCAATTAAATGACAGACCATCACAAGTACAAACGGAGGCTACTTCGATTTCATCATCTCTCGAAGATGTCCTTCTCTCGCTGTGTTCACGCCAACAAACGAGCAGTGAAATGGTTCAGGGTGACTTAGGCAGAGTCAGCCGGACGTGCTCGAATACATGCTAGGTCACTTACACCACCAAGCCGGTGCCGAACTGCGGCTTTACCTCAATCTTGTCTCCGTTCGAGTCTTTGGCATGATCGATGTGCAAGACAGCGAGTATGGCAGAAACTGCAGTCCATAGACTGTTCTCTGCAAACCAACGACCTGCCAAGGGTATTCGTCATCCTCAAAACTGTCAGATGAGCCATGAATGAGCCTACCGGGACAGATACGCCTGTAAGGGTCGGTGAATAATTGAAGATGGATGACAAGTTTGGAATATTCACCTGCCATGACCAAAGGCAAGATGACTGACGAAATGGTCCTTCAGCTTTCCGTCAATTGTTAGATGGCGACTAGGATCGAAGCGTGATGCATCGGGATATATGTCTTCATCCCGAGATAGTGCCCTGAGCCATGCTTAGCTCAAGCCGCCGTTATATCATGGACGCCACTGTGACATACCACTGATTAACCATTACCATCGCACCTGATCGAACTACAGATGAGTCAACGGCAACCTCGACTCATACGACTTCGAACCTTTGGGTATAAAGTACCCGTCGTAAACATCATCATTTAATGTCGCATGTGGAACTCCTGTGCAGGGGTCAGCCATGCAAACACAAAGCTATGTCGCTACCGACCAACCTAGGGGTCCGATAGGATACCATCTCAGGGCCTCGAGGAGAACGGCGTCAAGGTAGGGTAGTGGACGCCCTATCATCAAGGCACGGCATTTTATCATGCCCTACAACTTGATCAATTTCTGCACGAGCACGGGCCTGGACGTCAGGATAGAGCACCATAGCTAGCAGGAATATCCGCAATGTGGCTGTAGTCTGCGGGACATCAAAGTAAGAATCAGGACTACTTAAGGAGCGACTTACGGTGTCAATGCCAGCTAAGATGCCGTATTCGCGTCAATGAATGAATTCTGTCCTGGCAAAAAAAACCCTTACCAATGTATGCCATCAACGCAACAGCCTTCATCGTTTCTTCGTCAGCGTCGTCATGAGCTTGACTGAGAAAGTCAGCGACTAATGAGTGTGAAGCAGTACCATCTGCCTTCACACGAACAGATCAGGCGAAATTTCAATTTCCATCCACAATTCTGCGCGAACGTACTATCTGTGCCTTTACTTCGTCAAAGGGCTCGTTCAAAAGCTGTTGAGCTAATTCTGTACTGCGTCCCATCAGGGCAAATCCTCCACCAAAGCACCAAAACGGCAACTTTTCGACTGCAACCTGATGCTGAATGTTGAAAATTATGTCGTCGACAGAGGCACTCACGGAAAGGAAAGGCTGTGAACATGGCAGCCCCCTCTGGAGAACCAATTTGTTCGCCCAATATGAAGGAGTTCGCGTGCGCGGGTTAAAAAATAGGTCTTCATGTCCATGAGCAAGGTATCCGTACGTCACGGTCATGATTAGGGATGCCGTGTATCTGTCACAAGGATTTTGTCAACTGGACCATATATCACAACGACATCACTGAATTAGGTACGAACGCTTCAGTCTGTTGCCATGGGTCACTAGTGGTACCTAAGAGATTGATGACTAGCTCATTTGCATGGCGAGAGTACATTTCGTGGTACGAGACCGAGACTTCGGCCCTGAGGACTTGATGGTAGATCTTGCGATGTCGCCGTAAAGTCTCGCCATATGGAAGGAACAAAGTACCAAAATCCAGTCCAGATCTGAATCATCAGTCGATGAGGAACAAAATGAATGAAAACTAGCAATGCATACAATTTGTTGGTGGGAATAACGGGGCGAGAAGAATAATTCGCAGAACGCTTGTCCAGCAACTCCCGTGCGATGGTTTCGGAGTTTATGATGATAAAGTCGATCCCAAGTACGCGGGAGTGAATGATTTTCCCTACGATCAGGTATGAATTTGAATCTAAGAGCTTGGCAAAGAGGCCATTGGTTTGCTACCAACCATATGTCTTTCCCCACGCAGTATATGTGAGCCAAGGTCGTTTAGTATCCAGTTGCAACGCGTTACCCAAAATTGGTAAGGGACGAGGGCCAGGCGGCAGAGGTAAAGGGTAGACACGTCTGCGAAGCAGACCCGAAGCGACAACCAGGGCAACAATGCACGATATCCCTAATGCGAGAATATAAGTGAAGAGCATGAGGGATTACAGTCGAGCCCAAATAAACGGTTAGTTCGCCTTATAAAGGAGATCTTGGCTCACCTAAGCCTAAGTTAGGTTTCTACCTATCTGTGCAACCATTACACGTGTTGCAGTCAGTGCACATTGCCACCGTGTTCTAACATAGGTTGACCCACGGTAAGTGCTCATAGTTGATTGTAACGGTTGGAACTTGATTATGAGCGCTTGGTAAAATCCGGAGTTTTCCCTGATCCCCGGTAACTGCCAGTGGCGTTAGCCTAGAGAGTTTATGGTAACCTGTTATCATTCGGATCTTTCTCGGTTTCTTCGAACTAGACTGCATCTGCAAAACACCCCAGTTCTCGCTTAGTAGTGTAAGAAGTTTGATGTGTTACGAATGCTTACGACTCAGTGATGCAGCTTTCCGATTGGTTGAGATCTTGCAACAGTGAGGTAAACGTCGTTAAGATGCCAGAGACTGAGATTGATTATAGATTAACACAATCATCATGATTATCATTGATCATTGTTATCACGATGCGAGATAGTAATACCACACGATGTATGAATTATTGTTGAAACAGTACCACTGGCCGTAAGCTCTACAAACCCAATCTGACCTCTCCTCGTTCCTTCATTTTGTCTTTCAATGCCTTGAAACGTGCTGCGAGTTCAACACGGGGATAAATCTTATCTGAAATATAGGCAGTAACATTCTGGTAAGTATCCTTTGATTTCGCTGTTGAAAATTCAACGCGCTTGTATACTCCTGTCTTGTACTCCATAAGCGCTGAGCACAGTGCGGCGCCAGCCAGAGCAATGACACCATCTAGCGCAGTTGGATCATTGAAATCAAGATCTTTGTAGAACCCCGTGGGTCCACAAGATCTCGATAACGAGGCTAACGAGTCCGTCATGTTCGAGAACAGCGACCGATTGTAGAGTACCGTCAAGTACCTAAACACTAGTTAGTAATGCCCCCTACAAGTACAAATTGACACACCATCTTCACAGTTGTGAACAGACACTGCAGGTGTGTCGTGAGGGCAGGCACGACCCGCAGTTTGTGCGCAACCTCCGACGACGCGTCCCATATGCCGAGTTCGAGATTGTACTGTGGTTGGATGATGGCGCGCACAGCAGACTTCACCACGGTTCGGACAGTCCCAGTGATTTTTGTGAGTGACATGACAAATGTATCGGCGTCTGGGAGATAGTGCTGGCCTGCAGGCATGTTGGGAGTGTGCGCGATTGCGTCTGCTAACGCAGTACGTGCCATGGCGATGTTCTCGTCATTCGACGGCATCCCGTTCACTGAAAGGACCTGCCGTCGCATCCTCGACCTCGCAGTGGCGCACACCTCCTCCACCCGCTCGGCAGGCACAGGCTGAGGAGGGAGTTGCACCTCCTGCTGAGGGAGCTCGAGACGAGATTCCGCACTGCCGTTGTCATGAGAATGGAGGGGTTGTGGTGGAGTGCCTTGTTGCGCACTGGCAACAGACACATTAAGGGGAGGTAGGGGGTGTGGCGGCAAATCTTTCGCGGTGGGGGCGTTTCTGCGCAACTTCTTTGCTGTTACCAGTCTAGACAAAGAGTTAGCGAGTGACGAGGTATAGAGGAATTGAAACATACATGAACTACACCAGTATTTTGCCACTCGCCTCGGTACCCGCTCGTCCTGACGACGAGGGCCAAATACCATCACCTTGCGTAGCCCTGGGAGGGCATATGGCGATGAACGCGCAGGCCGTGCTTCCGGGTCCCGAAGGTGTCTGCTAAGGCGGTCTGCACCACGCACAGGGGGAGGAAGCGGTTGATTGACGGAGCAACTCAGAAAGAGTTCCTCCGCGGTCATGGTGTGCTGTTGGGATGGCGTCCAGTTCAACTGAGGCCCGTGCTGCTGAAACGGATTGTGGTCCATTTGATGTGCATGTGGAGGCAGCATATGAGGCTGGTTCATTGAGGGAAGCGGGTGATTGAGGCGCGAATGGAGGTAGGAAAGAACCCAGGCCCTGTGTTCATTTGAGGGTGATGCATGTGAGGCTGGAAGGGCGGGGTATAGTTCATCTGATGTTGGAAGGGCGGGGCATGGTTCATCTGAGGCTCGCGCTGCAGGAATGGAGGGTGGGGGGGCCCGTCCTCGAGACGATCATCGTGTGGGGGCTGATGGTGGTTCAGATTGGGCTGCTCGTATTGCGATCCTGTATCATCGAAGTCATCCGACCCGTAATCCACTATTTCTTCTTCGTGCATGACCGATAACGTTCTGCTACACCCTGACTCTGGGAGCTCTGTTTGCTCTACTGCGTGTCCCACTTGACTGTCATCAGCGTTCAGGCAGGGATTCTCGTTGCTTCTTCTCGCTGGTTTGCGAATTTGCTGATTGATCGGATTAGTACCATTGTAACACTGTAAGAAATTCATACCCTGGAGTTTTGAGGCTTTTTTCGTCGTGGTTTCTTGCCTTGGGTGGATTTCGGCGGCATGAGGGAGATCGCAAACGAGGGCACTACTGGTACATGATAAAGTTCGAGAATTAGCTACGTGTGTGGCAGGGAATATTTACTCACCAATAACATGCGGGCGCAAACGTTTAATGATCAACTCGAGACAAAAATGATAATTGATTCAAATGATGCACTGCCAACTTAATACAAAGCATACATGTAATGCACACGTCAAACAACACGCTGTAAGGGATCATATGTAATCGAACAGCTTCTGGAAAATGAGGACAATGATGTACAACGAATTATGCATGCTTACTACATTCAAGCCTCCAAAGTAGCATGGTCATTGCGAAAAGGGGTGTTATCGTACTCGCTTGCTTCATTGTCACTGCCGCCTGAATAGCTACCATCCAAATAATCACCATCTGCCCCTCGTTCCTCGATATGCTCCTTTATTTGACGACCTTGTTCTTGCAGGACCGCTAAAGTCAAGGTCTTTTCAGAAGTTGAATGCTCAAAAAAGGCTTTGTCGTGGTAGAGATCTTTCAGCCCACGATTAGTGCATGCTTGTTCCCAAATCTCCAGATCTGTCTTGGAGTAATCATGTTGCATCTTGAAGTGCTGTGAGGCGCTGGCAAGGAATTTTGACCAGCGGGTGCTTGCTTCAACTTTCCACGTCGCCGTAACGAGCTCCTGTCTAGCTACTTCACAAGTGGCATATTGCGCCATTGCGCCTTCACGTAGCATGTCATCTGGCAGGTCTGCAAGACCACGTGTGAAAATCTCCTTAGCCTGTGGATCTTGTGTATGAAATGCTTGAAATATTTAAGAATAATATTGCTTACCATCAGTGCAGCGCCCGGGTTCAGTTTCGTGCGCAGTCAGACCTTGCAAGGAATCCATTGCAAACTGAGCTGTGGCAGCTGAGGGTCCCCTGGATTTCATGTATGGGTTAAACCTTGGTTTGGTGGGGGATGATAGCGGGGATCTATTGTTTCCCTCTCGGAAATTAGAATGAGAAGGGGATTTTGGAAAGGTGAATTCGTGAGGGGATGATGGAATATTAGAGTATCTTTTGGGGGAGCTAAAGAGATCCATGACGTGTTCAGATGTGATGTCCGCTTTGTCCTTATGAAAGGAGGATGACAATTCGATGCAAGTCTGAGAGCTTGCAGGGCTAGAAGAACAGTTTGAAAGTGCTTTGGGGTGTCCTCTCATGGATTACTGAGTCCTAGCGTTGCAGTCGCTGGTGGTTTGTGTGCGATAGTATGAGTGGCAACTCGCATCGGAGTCTGAAAGACTTAGAAAACTTTTGATTGAAGGTTTGAAGGCGTGCACACTGCACAGTACAGGCACTATGAACCTAAATGATCCTCCTGGTCCTAACATCTTCGACGGTAATCAATTCAGTGGCATCGAGTAAGTTCTGACTACACTGTATTCTGTGTTCAATCAGATTGACAAGTACCCAGTCTCAACAAATCAGTCAAATGCCCCATCTGTTCTAATGTCTTTGATACCGCAGAAGAAATTTGTGCTCATCTTTCTGATGATCCAGGTGCGAAGATTTTTCTCTATACAATAAACAGGCTGAGCCCCAGTACCTCTATCCAGGATGTTATCGGTGTCTGATCCCCCCCCCAGTCGCATTTCGCATCCCCCAAACATCAGAGGGGCAGCCGCGACAAGGGCGGTTCCATCCCATGTCAGGTTACATTCATAATCTTGGCGAATTGAACACTTTTGAACGAATGAAACATGATGATTTTGAGGCGATGTGGGAACATAACGCATATTACCCATTTACAGATAGAGCAGAGTGGGAACTTGCAAAGTTTCTATGTGACAACTTGAATCAGGGGCAGATCACTTGATTTTTGAAGCTTCTCTGGGTATGTTTGAACTAGTTACATGAACTGCGCTAATGATATCCTTCCAGGTGGTTTCAGAGGCGAGGCAGCCGCTGTCCTTTAAGAATGCCAAACAACTCTTCACTTTCATGGATGCATTACCGGTGGCCCCGAGATGGAAGTGTACGCCCATCCATACTGATGGATATACAACTACCCACCCTGTGGATCTCATCTGGCGTGATGCCCTGGAGGTCGTGCACCACATTTTCGGCAATCCAATCTTCGCCAACCATATGGAATACGACCCTTATGAAATCAAAGACAATGGTGAGCGCGAATATGGAGAATGGATGTCTTGTGAACAGGCGTCCGAAATTCAGGTAAGCGCCTTTCATCATTGCATCAATGTCATTTGACAAGCAAAATGGTTTCTAGAATGATTTACCTATCGGGGCGACTATCGTGCCCATCATTCTTGCTTCTGACAAGACACCAGTAACTCGACAGACAGGCTCGCTGGAGATGCACCCCACATTTCTTACACTCGGCAACATCCACTCCGAAGTTCGCATGAAGGCCACCTCGCACGCATGGGCGTGCATCGTGTACATTCCAGTCCCAGAATACATAGTGAATAGTGAATTCTGTGGATTATTGGAAGCGCGTGTCTGGCATAAATGCATGGATCTGGTCTTAGAGAAGCTGAAGGTCGCTGCCGAGGTGGGCGAGTTCATGGTAGACACCATGGGTTGCCGCCGTTATGCATTCACACCACTTGCTGCCCATATCGCTGATCTTCCCGAGCAAATCATGATCGCATGTGTCTCAAAAAATGTCTCGCCAACCACTTCTGCCACACAGGCGCAGTTCGGCGACGGCACCACATACCCCCCCGCGCCATGGCTCAGACACCTTACAAAAGCTACATGAGCTTTGCAAGATAACCGATCCCTGGAAGGTCCGGGAGTTTCAGGAGTCGGCGAAGCAGTATTCTCTCAGTGGCGTCCACCAGCCATATTGGCGCAACTGGGGGCGTGCAGACCCTTCAATTTTCCTTGTCCCAGAGATACTGCATGCATGCCATAAATTTTTCTTCGATCACCCTCTGAAGTGGTGCAAGGAGGTGATAGGCGCTAGTGAGCTTGATGCTAGGTTCCGCAGCCAGCATAAACGTGTGGGTACACGCCATTTCACTAATGGTGTCTCCCATGTGAACCAGATGACCGGACGTGAGCATCATGATATCCAGTGAACGCTTGTCCCCACCATTGTGGGTGTGACATCTCCTGGGTTCACTCGTGCGATCCGCGCACTCATTGATTTCATATACAAATCACAAGCTCCCACTTTCACAAGCTCTTCCCTCGACAGCATGGTATCATCCCTGAATGAATTTCATGCCTACAAACACTTCATTTTAGAGGCGGAGGCTCGCACAGGCACTTCTGGCCCTATCAGTCATTTTCAGATCCCCAAACTCGAGTCTTTCAATTCATTCGCTCGTTCGATCCGACAATCAGGTGCCATCATACAATTTTCTGCGGATGTCAGCGAACGGCTACTGATCACACATTGCAAGACACCTTTCCAGCGGACAAGTCACCAACGAGGCACATTCACGCAGCAGATTGTCAATATCATCAATCGCGAGGAGGTGATGAGACAATTTGACTTGTATGCCCTCCTGCGTGAACGACGGATATCTCTCATCAACGTCATGGACAACGAGTTTGACGAGGTTGTTGACTTAGATCCAACCTTTAACTGGATAGCGCGCGTTGCACCACAAGATATGCATCGTTTTCAGGCGATTCGCCCCGTTCACAATCACTTTCTCAAAGGCCTCCTTTCTGACGAGGCTAACGCTGCCTTTCATGTTACCATCGCTCATGATCTTGCTGATCGTTCGCCCACTGCACTTGCTCAACTCTATCATCTCTCACAATTTCCAAATGTCCTTTCACAGTATCTCGATGGTGTATCAGGTCGGAACTCACTCTTTCACGGTCGCCTCCTCAAAACATGGTACAAATTTAGGCTTCAACTTCATTCCCGACTTCGTCCATGCAACATTATGCCAAGCCAGCAAGTTCAGGCGTATCCACCGTCTGAGACGCACCCTTTTGGAAACTGCGATATGGTTCTCCTCCAACCTACAAGTGCTAACCCGCAGTCCAGTAAGTTCCCAAGTTGTGGTCAATCTCACTTACTGATGGAGCTTTAGCACCATGCATTGTTCAAGTTCGAATGGTGTTTATGTTGTCGCCGCGAGGGTCGCAGCTACCAACAGAGCTCAAGGAGCCTCTTCTGTATGTTGAGCTATTCGAGATAGCTGCGCCCCCTGAAGCTGAGCCACACATTGGCATGTACCGTGTTCGACGTTCATTTTACCGTGCGCGTGATGGTTCTCCGAGTCGCACAAGGATCGGGAAGATTGTACGGCTTGTTGATGTTACACATGCAGTAGAATTGATACCCATCTATGGGGAAACGATGGACCGCTCTGTTTCGTCAACGACATCTCTTGAACGCTACGATAACTTTTATCTCAATGCATTCTCTGATAAAGAGTGGTACCACACACTTCACGCAGATTTTGTCTAACCGTACTGTATTATTTCGTGTCACAAAATTCAATCTTATCCGTGGATCTGATCAGTAATCTGGCTCTTGATAACCTGATGCACTTGATAATCTGGTATCTTCATCTTGCCGGACGGTGAATTGGCTCTTCGGATCGTTACGTGGCTCGGCTAGTCCATATTTTCCAAAAAAAACTGAAGTCCGTAATCAATCCCTGGACTATCCCAAACTGAGCGCTCAATGAGCAGCCCAATGAGCGGGTAAAGTTGTAGATGACTGGTGACCAGCCCCTCTATGAAGCAAGCCGTCATATATCATAGGGCTGGTCACCAGTCTACCTTCGAACTCGGACTTGGCACAAACCCTAAAAGTCCGCACACCCTCTGTACGTCATTCACAATATGAAAAGACTCGGGCTAGACTCTGTTCAACATCTCCACTTCAGCCCACAAAGTTCGAACGTTCAAATTCCGTTCCTGTGATCGGGTATCTCAGATTGAATTTGACTTCAATTAAGCTAAGAGTATGAGCACTCCGTGTATAGCAGTACTGCTAAGTCCAAGTACAGTTGATTGCTCCTGATATGTTCGTGAGCTCATGCTGGTAGCAAGCACACCCTGTTTCCTGATTGCTCTGCTAGCTAGGCGACGCCAACTTTCCAGTATCTGGACAACCAGGCGTCCAGTTTGAACCAGGGCCACCATTTTCCCAGAATTCCAGGCGCTAGATGGCAAGCCTTTTTTTCAAATCATGAATCTTGTTGTGTTTGGATCTCCTGCAGCTCATCGCAAGGCTCTTGACACGATACGGGTCGATGATCGCGTTGTTCGAGTGAAGCGCTGTGAGAATTTAATCGACAGAATCAATTGTGAATGGAATGGATTGTATGACTCGTGAGTTGTACTTGTTGCTTCATCTTGTTCACGAGATCAATTTCCGCCCTAGTCTACTGTGATGCTTGCTGTCAATATCAGCTTTCTCGCGGTCCCATTCGTTCAGGCTCAAACCTCTGCAATTCTTGTATCTTACCTCTGTGCCACGGGCTCGTTGGTGGTCACACTAGTCTTTGCTAGACAAGTCAATGACAACCAGCGATACCCACATAGATGTTCGGTAAGCGTCCTCTTCCAATCGTTTGACTTTATTCTTTATTATATCCACCAGACCCCGCTCATCATGCTAGTACGTTCTAGTGAGCGCCTTGAGTGCCTTTTCCTGATGCTCAGTCTACCGTTTGCATTCTCGATTTGGGGGTACGTTTCCAATTACATACAATTGAATAGTAATTCATTTCCTCTCATTCCCTGCCAGAATGATACTCCTTGCTACAACATTGTCTATTGTGATCTTCCGCACTTCCGACATCGCTACCGTACCGATTGCAATTCCGATTTGGGCCGCTATAATTATCCTGGCGACATGGCCCGCGTCCGCTGACCACATCAGATGCCTTCTGCGCAAGATCAAGGTCCAGATCCTGATTCAATCACATTTCTACCATACTAGATCATCGGGGCTAGTGTGACTACTAGAACCAGTTCTTATGCCTGATCTGATGCTAGGGATTTCGGTGGCGTGTGCTATTAGTAGCTCAATTTCTTGAATGAAAAGGTACTATCTCATTGTACGCAGGTTGTAGCATAATTATAGTACGAGTCCATGAACTGATCATGACGAATTCTGCTTTGTTCCGCCATGGAAAAATCCGAGTTTTGCCCCAATTTTCTCCCCGCAGCACTACGTAGTTGATACGGTGGGTCACCGTTGTCGTAAGAATCGTTATGAAGTGTCCGGTTCATGTGCATTCGTGCCTGGAAATTGACGATTCAATGGGTCCGAGATGTGTAGTCCTGAGAGATGGCAAAAGATGTGTTCATGATGTAGCAAGAAGTGTATCATGTTTATGTAGTAATTTGCAGAATGAGCAGGAGACGGTACTTAATAGTGGCTGCCGACTCGGACATCATACATGTAGACTGCAAAGCCGAGCGGAGTTTGGACCGTAACTCAGTGAAAAAGCTCCCACATCATACATGTGCCTCCTTTATGTCTAGGCAATGCTGTGTGCGACTGCGGAGCATGATGTTCATCTCCCCACCAACATGAGACTGCACGACGATATCAAATCGATAATCATATTGTGTTGACCAAGTATGGTATAGTCTAATATGGTAGGAGTCGGATCAGCTCTGCTTAGATAACCGCACAAAGTTATGTTCAGCTGAACTTCACCAGCTTCTCCACGAATTGCAGGCAAGAACTGTGATTTTGATTCACTGACCGGTAGAACACTGATCGAGGAGCAGGTACGAGTGAAAATATTGATTTGACTCGGAGTGAGGAGGAAGCGAGAACACAGACAGCCTGGTTTTCAAGCTCCGTTAGGTCCGAATGCTGGGGTCTTTTCATTGTGAATGATATGAGGGTGTCCTCTGGGACTTTGTTCGCTCATCGTTCGATGGAACCGAGAAAGGTCCGAATGATAACAGCTCTCCTAATGACCATCACACCTGCCAAACTAGTATACTTATAGTTGATCCGCCAGTGAGGTGAGCTAAGATCTCCGTTTTAAGGCGAACTAACACTTGGGTCAGACTATAATCCCTCCCCATGCTATTCACTCATATTCTTGCTTTAGGGATACCATGTATTATTGCCCTGGTTGTCGCTTCAGGTCTGACTCGCAGACGTGTCTACCCTTTACCTCTGCCGCCTGGCCCTCGTCCCTTACCAATTTTGGGTAATGCGTTGCAATTGGATACTAAACGACCTTGGCTCACATATACTGCGTGGGGAAAGACATATGGTTGGTAGCAAACCAATGGCCTCTTTGCCAAGCTCTTGGATTCAATTTCATACCTGATCATAGGAAAAATCATTCGCTCCCGCTTACTTGGGATCGAGTTTATCATCATAAACTCCGCAACCATCGCGCGGGAGTTACTGGACAAGCGTTCTGTGAATTACTCTACTCGCCCCGTTATTCGCACCAACGAATTGTATGCATTGCAGGTTTTCATTCAATTTGTTCTTCATCCACTGACAATGCAGAGCTGGACTAGCTTTCAATACTGCTCTCCTTCCGTATGGGGAGACTTTACGACAACATCGCAAGATCTTCCATCAAGTCCTCAAGGCCGAAGTCTCAGTCTCGTACCACAAGATGTACTCTTGCCACGCAAACGATCTAGTCATCAATCTTTTGAATGCCACTAGTGACCCGCTGCAACAGACTGAGGTGTTCGTACCTAATCTAGTGATGTCGTTATGATGTATGGTCCAGTTGACAATCAATCCTTGTGACAGATACACGGCATCCCTAATCATGGCCGTGACATACGGATACCTTGCTCATGGACGTGAAGACCCATTTCTTACCCGCGCACGCGAACTCATTCATATTAGCGAACAAATTATTTCTCCCGAGAAGGCTGCCATGTTCACAGCCTTGCCTTTCCGTGAGTGCCTCTGTTGACTTCATAATTTTCAACATTCAGAATGAAGTTGCAGTCGAAAAGTTGCCGTTTTGGTGCTTTGGTAGAGCATTTGGCCTGATGGGACGCAGTAGAGAATTAGCTCAACAGCTTTTGAACGAGCCCTTTGACGAAGTGAAGGCAAAGATAGTACGTTTGCGCATAGTTGTGGACGGAAATTTCATCTGATCTGTTCGCGTGAAGGCAGATGGTACTGCCTCGCGCTCATTGGTCGCTGACTTTCTCAACCAAGTTCACGACGACGCTGACGAAGACACGATGAAGGCTGTTGCACTCACGGGATACGGGAGTAAGATTTTTTTCTACCAAGACAGAATTCATTTATTGACGTGAATACGGCATCTAATTAGCTGGCACAGACACCGTGAGTCGCTACTTAAGCAGTCATGATTCCTACTTTGATGTCCTGCAGACTGCAGCCACATTGCAGACATTCCTGCTGGCCATGGTTCTCTATCCTGACGTCCAAGCCCGGGCTCGTGTAGAAATTGATCAAGCTGTGAAGCATGATGAAATGCCATGCCTTGATGATAGGGCGTCACTGCCCTACCTTGATGCCATTCTCCTCGAGGTTCTTAGATGGCATCCTGCCGTCCCCCTAGGTCAGTCTGCACAAATATAACTATGAATAATTGACCCCTGTCACAGGAATTCCACATGCAGCATCAAATGATGATGTTTATGGCGGGTACTTTATACCCAAAGGTTTGAAGTCATACGAGTCGAGGTTGCCGTTAACTGATCTGCAGTTCGATCAGGTGCGATGGTAATAGTTAATCAGTGGTATGTCACAGTGGAGTCCATGTACCGGCGGCTTGAGCTAAAGCATGGCTCAGGGCACTGTCTCGGGATGAAGACATGTTTCCTGATGCATCACGCTTCAATCCTAGTCGCCATCTAACAGTTGACGGGAAGTTGAAGGACCCTTTCGTGAACCATTTTGCCTTTGGTCATGGCAGGTGAATATTCCACACTTGCTATCATTTTCAATTATTCACTGACCCTTGCAGGCGTATCTGTCCTGGTAGGCTGATTCATGGTTCATCTGGCAGTGTTGAGGATCACAAATTCCCTTGGCAGGTCGTTGGTTTGCGGAATGCAGTCTGTGGACTGCAGCTTCTGCCATACTCGCCGTCTTGCGCATCGATCATGCCAAAGATTCAAACGGAGACAGGATTAAGGTGAAGCCGCAGTTCAGCACCGGCCTGGTGATGTAAGTGACCTAGTATGTATTGAACATTCTGCGGCTGACTCTGCCGAAGTCGCCCTGAACCATTTCACTGCTCGTTTGAAAGCGTGAACACAGCGAGAGAAGGACATCTTCGAGCGATGATAAATTCGACGTAGGCTTCGTTTGTACTTGTGGTGGTCTATCATCAAGATGTACAACGGCGCAGAGTGCACTGGATGGCATGGTTTTGCGGCCTAGGCTATCTGTCTCTGATGAACAAGAGAATTGCTTTCGAATCGTTTGCAAAATCTCGTTACCCGGCGTGACCAGGCTGCACACCGTTGACCGGTTCACGGCCCATTCCCCGCTGCAACGTTGTCTACATGAATATCGGTCGACAATAATCCATGCACTCGTCTGAGGTGTTAACGAGAGACGCGACGATGTAAGTACCGATGATAGTGCTTAGGTATTAATATGGTAACATCGGAGGATCGACGAGCAGAAGTACTTGCCATAAGCTGAGAAGTACTGTAGCGCATGGTGTCGATGGTCACTAGCACTAGTCACTGGTGACCGAGATAGCGAGATAGAGCAAGAATTCAAGCAAAGAACTATGTCACGACGATCTTAGTAAACTCAGTCACGGTTAAGTAAGCGGTCCTGAGTCACTGGTAGTCTTGAATGCCTATGGCGACGTGAATTAGAAACACCCAATGGGGGCACTGAAATACAGCTGGGACTCCGATATGTGAGTGATCTATAGAGTTATGAGTCGGAACTAAGTGAGTAAGCTGTACGAAACGGTTTGTTTGCTGAAAAACATGCAATCCCTAACTAGTAACGTGACGTTTACTGCGTCACAGCTGTTCAAGTTGGCATGGTCGTGACACGGCACTTTGAAAGCTTGAAAGCTTGACGCGGCTAGAGCTGACGCGCCAGTGCAACTCATTTCTATGTTCCATATTCGACTCCCACATCAAGTTGTATGGGTTCATGATCATTCTTTCGTTGATTTTATTCACCATAGGCGTCACTCTGTTTCGTGACCGTCCGGAGGCTTCCAGCGCACAAATCTTCATCAGTTTCCATGTCAGACTCTACACTGTACATATGTGTCCCTTAAGTCGACTCTTTTGCTGTCTTCCGCGACGGAGGAAACTGCGATCCTGCACCTCACGTTCAAATTGCCAACGACGTCGGACGGACGGTGGCGTTACTTTTTCTTGACGGATAATCTGCACATATCTGATCCCGCACTACCATTTCATGATCATCGATTGTTCCGCACTACAGAACCATCGTCACCGGTAGCACTCGAGCGGTCTCAACACCATTCCTCCCAAGTACTGCGCTTCGGACTTGGACCTATGGCATTGGCAAACGTCAAACTCAACAGTACTTCGCGCCCCAAAAGACACAAGTTCAACAGGCATACATCATGACATAGCGCCTAATAGTATAGTGATGTGAGCGACAGGATCTTATTCATACTTAGACCTCCTGAATTGATGCAAGTGTGGTAGCATGGATATCAAATACCCCAAATTACGAACAGCTTTACGAATTTCAATGGTGTTCAAATAATACATACATATATATGCACTCCTATCACCAATGCGGGAACCGTGAGGCGATGAACGCACTGGATGGTGATTATTTGACACGCACAACTCGTTACGGGTTACGGCAGGTTCACCTTTCACCTATCCTCCAAATATGACCATAGTCCCAAACGATCCAACTTGGTGGCTGGTAATCGAATCAAATAGCCTCTGCAGCTATTTCTTAGGTTCGTGTAGAGATAGGAATGATGCTGGTTGCATTCTAACCTTTAATGTGGTTTCGCAGTTGCCACCTGTACCACGGTGATATACGATTGGTGTGAGCATGACAGTATTAACTAACTACTGGTACCCTTATCATATTTGAATGGCTCAACCTACGTAAACCGTAGTACGAGTGCATGGATTACTTCGACTGATATTCAGGTAGCCCAGCGTTGCAACGCGGAAGGGCCCATAGACTGATCAACGGTGTACAGCTTGGTTGCGCTGGTGCACGAGATTTTAGAAACGGATCTGGTTTCTGAAGGGTCAATAGGTTCGAAAGCAATTCTCTTTCATCAGAGACAGAAGCCGTAAAACCGTGCCATTGTACAATTATGTGCTATTGTATGATAGACCATCACAAGTACAAACGAAGGCTACTTCGATTTCATCATCTCTCGAAGATGTCCTTCTCTCGCTGTGTTCACGCTTTCAAACGAGCAGTGAAATGGTTCAGGGTGACTTAGGCAGAGTCAGCCGGATGTTCTCAAATACATGCTAGGTCACTTACACCACCAAGCCGGTGCTGAACTCCGGATTCACCTCAATCCTATCTCCGTTTGAGTCTTTGGCATGATCGATGCGTAAGACGGCGAGTATGGCAGAAACTGCAGTCCACAGACTGTTCTCTGCAAACCAACGACCTGCCAAGGGCATCCGTCATTCTCAACACTGCCAGACGAGCCATGAATCAGCCTACCAGGACAAATACGCCTGCGAGGGTCGGTGAATAATTAAAGATGGATGACAAGTTTGGAATATTCACCGGCCATGACCAAAGGCAAAATGGTGGACGAAAGGGTCCTTCAGCTTCCCGTCAACTGTTAGATGGCGACTAGGATCGAAGCGTGATGCATCGGGAAACATGTCTTCATCCCGAGATAGTGCCCTGAGCCATGTTTAGCTCAAGCCGCCGTTATATGGACTCCGCCGTGACATACCACTGGTTAACTATTACTATCGCACCTGATCAAACTACAGATGAGTCAACGGCAACCTCGACTCATATGACTTCGAACCTTTGGGTATAAAGTACCCGTCATAGACATCATCATTTGATGTCGCATGTGGAAGTCCTGTGCAAGGGGTCAGCCATGCACACACAAAGCTATATTGCTACCGACCGACCTAGGGGGCCAACAGGATACCATCTCATGACCTCGCGGAGAATGGCGTCAAGGTAGGGCAGTGACGCCCTATCATCAAGGCACGGCATTTTATCATACCCCACAACTTGATCAATTTCTGCACGAGCACGGGCTTGGACGTCAGGATAGAGCACCATAGCCAGCAGGAATGTCTGCAATGTGCATGCAGTCTGCGGGACATCGGATTAAGAATCAGGACTGCTTAAGGAGCGACTCACTGTGTCCATGCCAACTAAGATGCCGTATTCGCGTCAATGGATGAATTCTGTCCTGGTAAAAAAACTCTTACCCATGTATCCCATCAACGCAACACCCTTCATCGTTTCCTCGTCGGCGTCGTCGTGAACTTGACTGAGAAAGTCAGCGACTAATGAGTGTGAAGCAGTACCATCTGCCTTCACGCGAACCGATCAGGCGGAATTTCCGTCCACAACTCTGTGCAAACATACTATCTGTGCCTTCACTTCGTCAAAGGGCTCGTTCAAAAGCTGTTGAACTAATTCTCTACAGCGTCCCATGTGGGCAAATGCTCCACCGAAGCACCAAAACGGCAACTTTTCGACTGCAACCTCGTGCTGAATGTTGAAAATTATGTCGTCAACAGAGGCACTCACGGAAGGGAAAGGCTGTGAACATGGCAGCCCTCTCTGGAGAAACAATATGTTTGGCGATCTCAGAGAGTTCGTTTGCACGGGTAAGAAACAGGTCTTCATGTCCATGAGCAAGGTGTCCGTATGTTACGGCCATGATTAGGGATTCCGTGTATCTGTCACAGGGATGGATTGTCAACTGGACCATACATCACAACGACACCACTGATTTAGGTACGAACGCTTGAGTCTGTTCCTGCAAGTTACTAGTGGCACCCAAGAGATTGATGACTAGTTCATTTGCGTGGCGAGAGTGTATCTCGTGGTATGAGACCGAGACTTCGGCTCTGAGGACTTGATGGAAGATCTTGCGATGTTGTCGTAAAGTCTCTCCATACGGAAGGGATGCAGTATTGAAACCCAGACCAGCTCTGTATTATCAGTTGATGAAGAACAAAATGAATGAAAACAGGCAATGCATACAATTCAGTGGTGCGAATAACGGGGCGAGTAGAATAGTTCGCGGAACGCTTGTCCAGCAACTCCCGCGCAATGGTTTCGGAGTTTATGATGATCAAGTCGATCCCAAGTATACGGGAGTGAATGATTTTTCCTATGAAATTGAATCTAAGAGCTCGACGAAGAGGCCATTGATCTGCTACCAACCATATGTCTTCCCCCACGCAGTATATGTGAGCCAAGGTCGTTTAGTATCCAATTGCAGCGCGTTACCCAAAATTGGTAACTGACGAGGGCCAGGCGGCAGAGATAAAGGGTAGACACGTCTGCGAGTCAGGCCCGAAGCGACAGCCAGGGCAATAATGTATGATACCCCTAAAGCGAGAATATAAGTGAAGAGCATGGGGAGGGATTATAGGTGCCAAGAAATGTTAGTTTGCTTTGATAAAGGAGATCTCGGCTCACCTAACTGGCGGTCCAACTATAGGTTTACTAGCTTAGCGTAGTAGGTGTGATGATCATTAGCCTCTATTATCATTCGTATCTTTCTCGGTTCCTTCGAACGGGCACAAACCTTAATAAGCGAAGACAGACCTTCGGAGCGTGACATGCCTGAGAACGTGGGTAGTCCGAAGAACACACGAACCCGGACCAAAAACCACACTGGAGTATGAAATAGGGAGGCCTGTGGGCGGGTGGACGAAAAACATCGAGCGACGCGCAAATGGGGATGAGCTGCAGAGAACTGAAGAAAGAATGGGGAATCTATTCTCAAGCTGAGCCTTAAGAGTGAGGTGGGCGAGACATGTGCTTCGTTAGGATCGAAGCACGCGTCATGGAGATTCTTCACATGGGCCCGCTTACAAAGGCCATGTTTCACGCGTCAACGTCAACATTCGCAAGCTCACGATTCGCTCTGAAACGGCCACCTTCGCTTCAGCTCGCAAAGTTCAAATTCCGTTCCTGTGATCGGGTATCTCAGATCGAATCTGACTTTAATTACATAAGCTAATCTTTCAGGTAGTGCTAACGAAGAGCTGTAGCACCTATAGTAAGTCCAAGTACAGGACTCCAGTTGATTGCTTCTGATATGTTCGTTGATATCAGCTCAATATATGAAACGAATCTGTGAGCTCATGCTGGTAGCGAACGCACTCCGTTTCCTGATTACTCTCCTAGCCGCAAGGCGACGCAAACTTCTAGTATATGGATAACCAGATGTCCGTTTGAACCAGGGCCACCATTTTCCCAAAATTCCAGGGCTAGATGGAAAGCCTTTTTTCAAGTCATGAATCTTGTTATGTTTGGATTCAATTTCATGCCTAACCATGGGAAAAATCATTCACTCCCGTTTATTTGGGATCGACTTGATCATCGTAAACTCCGAAACCACCACGCGAGAGTTGCTGGACAAGCATTCTGCGAATTACCCTACTCGCCCCGTTATTCGCACCAACGAATTGTATGCGTTGCCGGTTTTCATTCAATTTGTTCTTCATCCACTGACAATGCAGAGCTGGACTGGCTTTCAATACTGTGCTCCTTCCATATGGCGAGACTTGATGGTGACATCGCAAGATCTTTCATCAAAGGGCCGAAGTTTTGGTCTCATACCACAAGATGTACTCTCACCACGCAAACGATCTAGTCATCAATTTTTTGAATGCCACTAGTGACCCACGGCAACAGACTGAAGTGTTCGTACCTAATTCAGTGATGTTGTTATGATATATGGTCCAGTTGACAATCAATCCTTGCGACAGATACACGGCATCCCTAATCATGGCCGTGAAGACTCATTTCTTACCTGTGTACGCGAACTCATTCATATTGGCTAACAAATTATTTCTCCCGAGAGGGCTGCCATGTTCACAGCATTTCCTTTCCGTGAGTTCCTCTGTCGACGACACAATTTTGAGCATTCAGCATCAGATTGCAGTCGAAAAGTTGCCGTCTTGGTCCTTCGGTGGAGCATTTGCCCTGATGGGACACTGGAGAATTGGTTCAACGACTCCTGAACGAGCCCTTTGATGAAGTGAAGGCACAGATAGTACGTTTGCGCAGAGTTGTGGATGGAAATTGAAATTTCGCCTGATCTGTTCGCGTGAAGGCAGATGGTACTGCCTCGCGCTCATTGGTCGCTGATTTTCTCAGTAAAGCTCATGACGACGCTGAGCCTGCTCTATATGAATCTGATGTTAAGGATTTTGTGTTGGAGTGTCGGATGAAGGCCGAGAAAATTCCAGGCGATACTGTCATTATGATGTATTATATACCTCTCATAGTAGAAGAGAGGTGTTATATCCCAGTCTATGACACAAAGTGTGGGAGAATGATACATCAACCATAGCGCCATGATATATCATGTACTCACTGAGTATTTACCAGCTGAAAGTGATACATCAATCATACTGGCGCCATGATATATCATGCTTACAGAGGATATACTACCAGCCATAGAGCCTTGATGTATTACTTACCTTGATATATCAGATGTATTAATATTCCCTCCTCCCAGTCACACCACGCTTGAAAATAGTGATACATCAATTTTTGCAACCATGATACATATATCAGATGTACTATGTATTCCCTCCTCCTGGTCACGCAACACTTGAAAATCGTGATATATCAATTATACCGCAGTGGTTGCGATAATTGATATATCACTATTTTCAAGTGCGGCGGCAATACCTACTATGATGTATCATATATTCCCTCTCCCCATGCACGGTTACAGCATGTTTTGATGATACATCACCTACCTTAATACCTCAGAACATACTATATCATGGATTTTCAAGCACGGCAGCAATTCCAATGATGTATCATATATTCCCGCCTCCTACAGCTGCAGTAATTAGTACACGTTCAAGATTTGATGATATATCACCTACCTTAAAGTCCTCAGTAGATCAGTAGAATACTAGTATATGCTCTTGAGGGGCTGCACTAACACAACAGCGCTGCACAATCACATCAATTTTCTCTTCTGGTTGTCATTGGCATGATTTCGCGTCTAGCATGATTCAACATTTTAAAGACATGATACTATCTAGCTAGGTACATTGAAAACACAAAAGAGCTACTTCCGAGACCTTTTCTTTGACCCTCCAACACTGCGCTGGACTTTGGTCTGCTTTCTTTTTGGTATGAGCTTTGTTTCATGTTGGCCACCAATTTCATTGGCTCCATCAGCTCGCGTAGAAGGTTGTGGTGCACGTCCCGAACGTCTGCTGGAGGCAGCAGAGATGGTAGGTAAAGAAGATACCATTCCCCACCTCCAAATTGGGTTGAGAAATGCCTACAATGGCATGAGGCGATGGCTGGCGAGAAGCTGGTGAAGATTGATGGTCAGTGGACACCGTCATCGCCTCCGAATTATGTGGAGGAGTTTTATCAGTGGAAACTCCTCCAATTGCAGGAAGTGTTGGCTGGTGAGAAGCCGGCGAAGGTTGATGTTCAATGGACCCGGAACGCGGTGACTTGGAGACCGTGGATACAAGCAAGGATAATGGTGTGATAGCAGGCAGCAAAGGTAACAGAATTGATTGGTATGGAGGCGAGCGTGGCCCTGAGTTCAACATGGGCTGGTTGAACGGTAATGGATTGCGTTGTTGGAGCGTGGGCATCATGTCGACCTCCTTGAGTCCAGGAAACATAAAGAGCGGAGAAGGGTGGGGCAAGAAGGTGGTGGCATGAAGTGGCGACAATGAACGAGGTAGGAAAGGAGGGACTGCTTTGATTGATGGACCCACTGTGTTCCAACCTCGTTGTTGAACACGATTGAAGGTGGGGGATATGAGCGGGTCTTCATTGCGCACCATTGACTTTCTCCAAGCAGTGATTGGCGTGTCTATCACTGTATGGGGAGATGGGAGATTTGGGTCACTGTTACTAGCGTGCATCAACCAGTCACCATATTGATTCACTCCCGCAGACCCACTGAAGTCCAGGTTGTTGTAAGGATCCTGCAGCAACACTAAGTCCTCCTGTTCTTGCAACAGAGAAGGATCAACCACAGGTCCAGATATCACATTGTCTCCAAGTGAGGACTTGTTTGGAGATTTGTCCAGTGAGATGAGGTCAACGGGGGCAAGATGAGACGAGGTTGGGGTAGACAAGGGTGCTGATATACATTTTGAAGATGGACCTATGGTATTTTTCATTATTAATTAATTTTGAGTTGTGTAGTTTGGAATTTCACTTACCATGGATGGATCCAAGGTGTCATTCAAATGGTAGTAGATATTGTTCGTGAAAGTTTGGGGTAGACGCCTTGAAGCTCAGACCATCTGTGGTTTTACCATGGTGGTAACTGTTGAAGAATCAACAAACAGTCGCAAAGAGGTAATTTGAAAAACATACCTCAACGTCATGATGTCCCCTTCACACAACGGGTCAGCTCCACCCATGACAACGGTGTAGTGCCATCCACCCGTCAATGCTGAGAGTTCCTCAAAAACCTGACCTAGAATCAAGGGCAGCTCTTGAATTGTTCTTTACATAAGTGGTGAGTGAGATCAGTATCTTAGTAATACGAATCAAACATGTTTACTTACCAATAGACTTCTTCCTTTGTTCTCGGATGCTGACCCTCAACATTGCCTAATCTTCGGGCAGCATTGAGACGTGCAGTCTCCTCCCGAATTTCTTGCTTGACTTTTTCTGACTCGTCTGCAAAGCATTCAGTGGTGTGTTGCTGGACTGTACTAAGCCTTTGGGTAGGTTGCACATCATTATTTTTAAAGTGTCTGAAACCAATGGTTTGACTTTTGACTCATAGTGCAGCTTGGAATACACTTCAATCTCTTTGAGATCTCAAGTACCTCGTGCGCGCTGGCCAAGCAGTACAGACAGGGCTCTACTGGTTGAGCTGCCACCAGGTGTTGTCTTTCCCTTTGAGTTATTTCGGAACCATTCCCGCAATTTCTAACCAAGTTATATTCTATACTCAGGTCATGCAAACACCACATACTTTGCGTCGTTCTGCTGCTCGAATTGGAGGTGAGTTGGATTGGTTGTCTTCTTGTTCAACTGAATCGGTTGCATTCAAGGAATCGAGCTGCGCTGTCTCGATCACAGACTCGATGCCTGCACCGCTGGGCTCATTGATGTCTGCACTGCTGGGCTCATTGATGTCTGCACCGCTGGGCTCATTGATGTCTGCACCGTTGGGCTCATTGATGCCAGCATTTGTGTCACAAGGTGGGCTGCCGTTTAGTTCTGTCTCTTCTGGAAAGTCGCTGAACCACCTAGGGAACAATGCATCAAAGAATCGAGACAATTTCTTCTCTTTCTGCATTTGCAGGTATCCAGGCATCTCGTTCTGAAGCCAGAGCAACTGCTCTGCGCTTGTCCATCTCAGGGGCGCCATCTAGATGTGAGGGTGAGTATCTGTTTTTTATACTTGGTATCTCACTCACTCACCACTAGTTTTTTTTTTCACTCGGTTTCATACAGGGCCACACTGCAGTGCCGACTTGACCTACTGACATTTACTTTTCTTACTCAGCCACAAAGTGTTTTTTCCTCAATGGATCTGGTCATATTCACAACCAAGCAATACCAATCAACGAGTGAGTGGTACAAATACCTTGTTTTTTTGCTCTCGAACTGACCCGGTACCTCTTAAACATGAACCAAGACGCCTCCAATGTTAGATGCTGCCACAACCAGCATGTACAAATGCTCCGCCATCCATGCTTCATGATGGAGCAGTTCATCGAGGCCATACATTTGGTACAAAGCGGTCATGGTAAGTTTGTTTTATGATATCACCAAAGTGCTTGCTCACCATTGCATTTCACGCAGTTCCCCCGTCATCACCAAAACCATATGGATGGCCTTACCGTCCTGAAGATGAGCCATGCCCAGTCCATACACGAGATGGTATGGTGAACTTGCCTACATTCTCCTCTTTAATTTTACTCACGAATCGTGCAGTCTCTCATAGCCCAGAAGACTGCTCCCCGGCCAAAGAGGAGGACACCTCCTCAGAACTTTCCATTAGTGATATTTGGATTGGCCCTGGGGCGGCTGCTGCTGACGATCTCGACAATTCCTCTTCCGAACATGGGGAAGAGTCTAGCATGAGCAGGAGTGACACTGAAACACTCGCGGACGTTGACCCCGCTCTTGAATTTAACTGGTTCATGACCACTAGTCATTGTGGTGTGGGGCTATACAGTGAAATGTAAGCCGTTTTTTTTTTTGCTTTTGATCTGAACCACATCTGACTATTCATAGATCTACTGCACATGTAGTTCATGCCCCAGGTACATCTATCCATTACTTCACCACACTCGGTGAAGTGAAGGATCATTTCAGGCTTGCTTTGGCGATGTGGTGTGGCGAGGTGGTCTGATGTACTATTTGTCACTGCAAACTTAAAATATTATGGGGTGTCCCCAATGAAAAGGTTCCACTGGATCAATTGTTTCGTTGTTACATAGTCGATCACTTGTATATACCTACATTTGAATCAAACACGCGAGTCCAGGCCTCACAAGCAACGTCATCCGATAAGCTTTAAGCTCGGTTCAGCATGCCGAGAGTGATTCTTGCAAGACTGATGATATATCACGCTGCCAAATGCAACAGCTCTGAATGTCGAAAGCATTCTCTTGTGCAAGCAAATGCTGTTGTATTTCTTCGAGACACTTACCTACCAGCTCACCACCATCCTGCCAGTATCCAGCAGGACATGAACCGAGTCATCTGCAACAAAAATAGGGCGATTTGAATTTATATTATCTACTATCACTGTAGTACATGTCTATCCCAAAGTGTGGCTCAAATGCCACCAAGCAATACAGTGAGTTGTTTACACTAACTTACTGGTATGTTACTACATGTCCCTTGTCCCTCCAATCATCACCAGAATGGCACCAAAACATAAATCTGCAGAAGATCGCCACAAAGCTCAATTACAGAGCAAATGAGAACATTATCAACAGTCAGTTTTAATCACTCAGAGTCATGGTCTATCAAGATACTCAATGAATTTTATTTATTTTCTTCTAGAAATAAGACTACGGAGCAGGCAAAGTCTCGAACTCGTTGGCGCATGCGTTGTCACTTTAACAATGTACGTATTTCCTTGATATAAAGTTCTGTATGTACCTTCATGTTCACAAACAGGATATTGTTGCGTTGTTTTGCACCTTAGACCAACTCGGCACTGAACTTGGGTACAAGTCTGGTGTTCCCGAGGCACGCAGCATGCAATCTCGCATTATCGCAGTGCTACAGAGAGTGAGTGATGAGGGTTGGAGTGTGATACACCCTGAGTTGAATGATGTATGTGTTGCTATGCTGGGTCTGCAAGGGCGCACTACTGAGTTACATGATGCTGTGCAACGACTTGGATGTACATATGGGACTGGATATCACCTCTTGTTGAAGCAGAGCCAGGAGCTGGTGGACTTGATGGGGAGACGGCTTGCAACAGAGAAGGAGATCATATCACTTATAGACCAAGGAGGTGTTGAAGCTTATGACGAGGCAATGTTCACCGACTCACTCGTTTGGCAGACTGCGCCAGTTGATATATCACACAAGTCTTGATGTAAACAACCTGAATTTCCGAACTGCGTCTCACTAACACCGACAACAAATGGTTGGAGGCCAGAGACAGCGAAACCTGAAGCAATACCAGCGCAATTTCTATGCGCACAATACTGCTGCTTCAAAAGCAGTGAATAACGACACCAATGATGCGCCTCAACACACTCGTGATGTTCAACAACGCAAGCACAGCAGTTTTGAAACAGGACACAGTGGGCGATTGTGAATGTCTCTTCAACCTACTACACAGTTCCAAATTCTCCAGGGAAACGCTGTCGGGGAGATTCCAACTTCCTACTGGAGACTACAGAGTTTGACTTCACAACTCTTGACAATTTCCCCGATAACCTTCAAAATGACACGCCGGAGTTTGTAGAATTCACCAAGCAAAAATGCACTGTAGTTCAGGGTGAGGCCCTGCGTTTGTGGGAATCCGATGCCGACTTATTCTTGGAGGAATTCCTTCGTCTGGAGGGTCGGGGCGACTATTCACAAGAGATGTGTGTTTGCGGTGAGGAAGCTGCGATATATCGTTGTCAGGATTGTCACGGTACTGAGTTGTTCTGTCATCTGTGTATGGTCCGTGTTCATGAAAGACAGCCATTTCACAAAATGGAGGTATGTACATAGATACTCGCATTCCTTACATCAACTGACTCTTCTGTGCTTAAAACTTAGTGTTGGGACAGCATCTCATTCCACGGCATTACCTCAAAGTCCATGGGGATCCGTTTGCAACTTGGACACACCTCTGGTGTTTGTTGCAACAACCCACTCTCGGCTTTCAACGACAACTTCATTATCATCGACTACAATGGTATCTATGAAGTGGGGCTAGACTTCTGCGGATGCGCTTCTGCTCAGCCACACATCACTCAACTACTATGTGTTCGTCTCTTTCCTGCAACAACTGTTGATCCCAAAACAGCCGCGACATTTCGGTCACTCGAATACTTTCAAATGCTATCTTTCAAGTCCAAAGTTTCCGCATACAAATTTTACAAAACAGCTGCCCGTTTGACAGACAATACAGGAATTCATGTACCAAAGGTATGTGCTAATGTTAATTCTAGTTCTCTTTCGACCTGTCATCTTACATCCTAGGATCATTATGAATCTATGTTGCGCATGATGCGAGAGTGGCGGTTCATCAAGCAGATGCAACGCGCTGGTCAAGGTCATCACCCCGAAGGTATCGCAGCAACCGAACAAGGTGCATGTGCTGTTTTATGTCCTGCATGTCCCCATGCAGGCAAGAATCTGCCAGATGGATGGGAAAATGCGCCATCTGAAATACGGTATGTACAATTAACATCTTTTCATCCGACTTCACTCTCACACAGATCCAGATTTATATATGCTTTATTTCTGGCCATTGATGCCAATTTTCGTCTGGCTCACCATAACATCTCTTCAGACACCGTTGATCCTGGTCTTAACCACAGATATGCATTTTTTGTAGAGGAAAAGGCCTACAAAGGTTTTATCAGTTCACAAGCATGAGCTGTCCAGGAGGTAAGTACATCATTCTATTCATCCTGGGCACTAAGGATAACTCTATGCAGATGAGTTCATGTTCCAGTCACAATGCGGTAAATCTCGCAGATGCAAGAGTCTCGTGTGGGCTTGCAGCCATTGGTGCTGGTACTATCGATTGTGCGCGACACAATTTCAAATGGCCCTGCTCCATTGGCGACTTGCAAAAGGGCGAACGGTGCACACTGTTCACTTTCTAGTCATATTGTTATTAACAGCGCAATACAGGTACCTTAATATGGATTATTTATTTTTGTCAAGCATGCAGTCTTCAGACATAATGGCTTTAAATATATCATACAACATCGCTTGCCAATGGAGCAAGCACATCTGGACGTGTATGTCCGCTTTCCCACACCAGTACCACATCAAGCACCACGAAAAGTCCATCATCTTTCTTGTACCGAAATTTCACCTGCCAGCCCACATCGCCAAATGCCAGACTTCCTTTTCCTTCAATTTCATCAAGGGTGTTGGTCGCACGGATGGTGAAGCTCCGGAGCGAGGGTGGGCGGACATAAACCCCATTGCTACGAGCACATGCGAAATGGGTCCTGGTTCAAGGCGTGATACCTTGGACGACCACTTCAATGATTGGAACTGGAAGAAGATATGCGCAATGGGTGAGTTTTTGGCCTCTCACTATTATCTGAACTCATAGTTTCTGTCTTGCAGGTTTAATTTTCCATCGCAAGTACAAATTCGCATTGATTGAGGTCCAAGAACGTGTCAACGATCTCACCAATTTTGAGGCTTCTCTTGCCACAGATGAGCTAGCCGCATGGAGGAAGGACATTGAGGCATGGGAGGAAGACCGTTCACGACCAAACCCATTTGAAGACAGAGCTACGACAAGTATGTACATTCTATTCAACACATTTTAAGATGCTGATGGTGTTTTCAACAGCAATGACTCAGGCTGCTGTTCGTCTGGCCATATCAATGGCAGAGGCCACAGAGATTGAGCGCGGTAACAATGTGTCCCTGCACATGGAAACAGCTATCGCAAACGACGCCGAGGCAGAAGAAGACTTGCAGGCCTACTCTGATGGATCAGCAGTAGATGGAGGGGTAGGAGGAGCAGCGGTCCTAATGAGAGGAGGCGAAGCAGTAAAGGAGAAGCGGTTTCACCTGGGAAATGACCAAGAGCACACAGTCTACGAGGGAGAAATAGTAGGGATGATACTAGCAGTCGAGCTACTGAGGGAGGAAGGAGGAGGAGGAACCATGGCCCTCAGGGTCGACAACCAGGCAGCCATCAGCGCCACCAACGCCTTCGTGTCCAAACCAGGCCACTATCTTATGGACATATTCCACAACGACCTGCGCAAGCTAATCCCCGCGCAAGACAATCGCAAACTGAAAGTAAGATGGACACCAGGACACCAGGGGATCCCCAGCAATGAAGCAGCCGATGAGCAGGCAAAGTTAGCTGTGCGAGGAGACAACAGCGAACCCCACGCCATCCCAAAATCCCTAAAGTCACGCAACTGGTGCAATCGCCACCCTCCCCATCAGCAAATCGGCCTTGAAACAAAGGTTCATGAAAGAGATCAAAGACGAAGCAGCAACTATCATGAAGAACTCACCAAGATACAAGCACCTCCACGAACTCGACGCGACAGCCCCATCGAAACATTTCTCCATGCTAGTGGAACAGCTGCCAAGACGCCACTCCTCACTATTGTTCCAACTCCGTACAGGGCACACACCATTGAACAAACACCTTCACCGCATCACGAAAGTCCCCAGCCCTACCTGCTAACAATGCCTCCAACGAGAAGAGACCGTCCACCATTTTATTCTAGCATGCCCAAAGTACACGAGACAACGATTAGCGCTCCACAACGAGTTAGGCCCTCAAGCTAGTCATCTCAAGAACCTCCTGAACCACAAGAAATGTGTCAAACCACTGCTACGCTTCATCATGAGCACACGAAGGCTAGAGCAGACATTCGGTGATGTAACGCCACCAGCAGATGATGAAGAAGACAAAGAATGAACAAGCGCACCCATTTTCCTATACCATATCGCCTTTAGCTGGCCTTAAACGTTCTCACACCACGCCTGGACCAATGATTGTACACCACACACCCGAAAGAAGTATATAGTCCATAAAAACAGTAGAATACTTGTATGTTTTGTCTACCATAGGGCATGGCCCCAACGGACAATAAACAATGAAAAAAAAAAAAAAAAGTGTCCCTGCACAATGATATCTCGCCATCGGTGCTGATTTCATCAGGATTAGAACTAGAAGATCAACAGTTGCATTGAGATTTCTGAACTTTGCTGGATCACAAACTGACTCTATTCTAGGCGCCGTCTTGAATTTGATGCCAGGGTGGTTGGACAACACGCTACAGATATTCAGAAGGGCAAGCTCTTACAGCGGGTGAATGCTCTTCGCTGACGCATTGACACATGGGGCCGAGTGCAGTTGTTGTACATGCCTGGCATCTCCCGCCTGCACTCGCCGGATGACATTGCCACTGAAGCCAAGGTTCACAACATAAACCTGTTCCTGCCGTCCTCTCTATCCCATTGAGTACCGTGTGACGACCGCTTGCTTGAACACAAGTGGGAGTTACATCAAGCTCAGGCATATGACACACTCAATGACCTCTGCACTGTGCTCAACCTGTGATACCACCTGTACAAGTATAAGGACACATTTATCCGAGGACAGCGAGCAAATACCCAAGCCAACGGAATCATCACTAACGCTGAACATCGCATTGATGCCTTATCAGTTAAGTATTAACTCTAGAGGGTGTCATATACCATATTCCCAGGTACAGATCCGAAGATCCGGATCTCAGATCCGATCCAGATCCGATGGACATATCCATCGTCCGGTCCACAGATCCGATCTAATCCTTGTTTCATGTCCTGTTCATATAACTCTAACTATTGTTCATCTCCTTTTGGCATTCCTGTACACCGGTATACCAGTTATCCTTTACTTCCGTTATGCTTACTGATCCGCTACACTTACTGATCCGCTTTAGCTTAGACTTCATTCCCGGTTATGATTCGTTATCCATCCAACTTACCGATATGCTGTACACATACTTTGCTTATACTTCGTACATAGCCTTGTGTCCTTGCTTATTGATCATTCTGTTAGTTATCCGTAGTATATAAACCCTTGTACATGCGCTGTAGTAGATCAGTTCGAATATCATCTTAGATTGCACTCATTCTGTCTGGACTCTAAGTCCATCTGTTATCCGTCCGGACTTGAGTACGATACTCTTGTCTACTCCGAGGCTTAGGATTGATTCCTATAGTCTATATATCCGTCTCTGTCTTTGGACAGTCCTCGCCCGTTAGTTTCTAGTTCAGATCTGATCCGGATTAGCCGTTTCTATATACATTCAATATCTGGAAGCCTTAACGGATCCATTACGAGACTTATCCATCTCAATATACGCGATACTCTAGCACTCTGAAATAAGGGGCAAGACTCGGGAAAGGGGCACAGCGCACAAGCTGAGGCCGAAGCCCTTCGGATCCAATACTACTTGAGTACGGTCTTAACAGAGGGGCGCTTCTGAATCTGGTATCAAGGCTGGGCAAGAACGACGAATGGGAGAGGAGCCTCAAGCCGCTCGACAAGCAAAAGGATGCGGTACCACTCAAACACAACGATGGCTGAACGGTGGGGCAGCAAAATATATCATGGATTTGGAAGACCTCAGGCTCCAACAGCAACGAGCTAGGGCTGCAGGACTGTAAGTAGGCTCTAATCACTCATGCTCCTCACTGACCTGACTGTTTTATAGCACTACGTGTTGAATGGTGTAGGGTGCGAGCGCGAGCTCACCGCTGGGAGGAAGAAGTGGAGTTACTGCGCGAGGAAATGCGCCGCATCATTGCATTCTTTGACTGGCACGCTGGCTGGTGGGACATGCAAGGTCCACGACGTGCTTTTAACTCACTCCAAGCCAGAGAGGGCACGCTTGCTTATGCTCAATGCCAGGCCAATCTTCGCCGCACAATGGCTGTCCACTTCAAATCTGTGTGGGCAGCCAACCCTTCATGGCAAGCTCCCTTCGTAGTTGATCTTCATTCCTAGTTAAACCCCAATTCCCCTCGAGGACGAGTATATAACCTACTGTGTATTTACAAGTGATATATCATGCAAGCTTTGAAGGCAATATTATGCGCAAACCCCGTTCACAAGTAATATATCACACGAGTCTCTTGTAGAGCTTCCAAGGTGATGCATCACACAAACCGGTGATATATCACACGAGCCTCACAAGCTTTGAATTCAAGGTGATACATTAAATACCCAAACTAATGATATATCACGCGAGTCTTGCAAACTTTAAAAGTGATGTATCACGCAAGCTTTACAAGCTTTGAAGGTAATACATCACGCAAATTAATGATATATCATGCAGGCCTCGTGGGCTTTGGACGTGATATATCACGCAAGTTTTTGAAGGAATACATCACACAAACTGGTGATATATCACGTGAGGCTCTAGGAAGGTGATACATTGCAGGACAGACTTGATGTATCACATAGACAGTGATACATCACGGGACAGGCAGCGGGAAAGGTGATGGAGTTGATATATCATGGTCTATGGACCACAGGCTCTGATATAACATCAGCCTTCTACAATACTAGGTATTGATTCATTATACCTACAGGGTATTGTGAAAATTCAGGGTCTGACTGACGTTGTGGTGGTCTATCATAAAGCTGTACAACGGCGCGGAGTGCACTGGATGGCAAGGTTTCGCGGCCTCTGTCTGTCTCTCATGAACCGGAGAATTGTTTTCGAATTGTTTCCAAGATCTCGTGACCCCGTGCAACCGCAGACTGTTGACCGGTTCACGAGCCATTCCCTGTTGCAACGTTGGTCTACATGAATATCGGTCGACAATAATCCATGCACTCGTACTACGACTTACGTAGATTGAGATCAACAGTCATTCAAGGACGTCGGATTATGCAACTGTAGATGCTATAAAAATCACAGTACGATTAGACGTAAGATGTGATCCCTGACAATCCAAAGAGATACCGGTTCAGATGTATAGCCTGAAACATCGTTCAATTACTCAGGGTGCTAATGTGGGCAGCCAGTGTGGGCCATATCACAAGAATGACTATGGCAAATATGCGAGTTCAAAGTGCGGGAAATCACAATAGACAATGCTGCAGTAAATAATATGATTATGTTGTCACTATCATACAGTAGTTCACTAGACACGCACTATCAAATCGGAAATACAAACGGCAGACTGAGCATCAGGGCAAGGCATGCGATAAAACTTTTGAACGACGCCTGGCGGACGTAAAGAATAAAATTCAAGCGGAGGCAAACCCGCCACGCGTTCAACAGACCTGCTATTGCCAGTCATCATTAACCTGTCTAGCAAAGACTAGTGTGACCACTAATGATTTCACGGTACACAGTTGAAATATAATACGGACATCTAAGTCTGGATGAATGGGACAGCAAGAAAGCTGATATCGATAGCGAGTAGCACCCTAGACTAGCTAGCATGGAAATTAATCGCATCGACGATATGAAGCAAAATCACGACTCACGAAAATCGAATATCGTGTATCCATTCCATTCGCTGTTGAGCCTGTCGGTACAATATTGCCAGGGGTGGCGGAACCCTTCAATGTTCAAGCATGAGATACTACCTCAGGGTTTTGCATCCATAAGGCGGTCTGTCCTCCTAGTAGACCAACTCAATTAGCAGGAACATGACTAGTAGGCATAAACTCAGTCAGTAGTCTTGAATTCCTATAGCGACGTGAATTAAAATACCCAGTGAGTATACAATTGATGTAAAACATTCGATCTAAAGCTCATTGAAATATAGCTGGGACTCCGATGTGTGAGTGATCTATAGGGCTATGATGAGTCGGAACCAACTTAACCAAGTGCGTAAGGTACCTCGTGAGAAATTTCGGTTTGTTTGCTGAAAAATGCAAACCCATGTCCTGCAGTCACTAACAACGTGACGCTCACTGGCACTGGTGCAACCCCGTAGGTCGTCGCAATGAATTTGCTGCTCGTGAGTACTAGTCATGCGCGTGACTGCCCATTGCGAGTCTATGTACACACACAGCTGGTCATAGTGACCTTTGGCCACGTTTCAAAAAACGGTAGTTGATAGTCAAGCCGCTCTGTTTCGTGACCATCTAGTATCATCTCAGGCTTCACAGCGTCCTAATCTTTATCAACTCTCGAGCTGATACATTGCTAGATCATAAAAGAAACAATCCCATGCCAAACCCAAACCCTCTATGAGCACTTTTACAACATCGCCTGTCCAAACCTCACCCCGTGCATCATCACCCTCATCCCTCATCCCACCATTCCCCTACCCTAGCCTATCTCTAAACTCCTATACTACCATATCCCCCTTCCGCTCGCCATCAAGAACCCTCGCTCTCACAGATCAGACCACATGAGACCACCGAAGCCGCACGTCAACCGTACGTCTCACACTCATATTTCTCTCCACAGATTTCTTGTACTTCCGCTCCCCGCGGTCGAGCTTGCGTTTAGCCATACTACCTTGCTCATCGCGTGGATAAACATAGTCATCTCATCTTCGCAGGAGGGCACGTCTAAAACGGCCGGCGGGAACGGCGGACGGGACACAGGGGCCCCGTAGACTAGAAAGTACTGTCCTGCATAGAGACACACTCTCAATGCAAAAAAGACAATCTTCATCAATGCCTATGTCAGACTCTACACTGTCTATGTATACCTCTACTCTGTGTTCCTTGAGTCAGCCTTTTTGCCATCTTCTGTGACGGAGCAAACTGCGATCCTGCACCTCACGCTCGAGTTATCAACGACGGACGGTGGCCTACGGTGGCGTTACTTTTTTCTTGATGGATATATCTGATCTCGCACTATACTCAAATTTCAGGATCATTGATTGTTACGCACTATTGATAGAAGCATTGCCACCGGTAGCGCTCGAGTGGTCTCAACAGCATTCTTCCCAAGTACTACGCCTCGGACTTGAACCTATGGCATAAACGTCAAATTCAACAGTCGGGCCACGAAAAACACAAGTCTATAAATGCCTCCATACCTTGTCTGGTGATGCTGGCGAGGTGGACGCTACTGACGATTAGTCTAATCAACATTTTCAAACTCCTAGGTTCCCATCTGCAAGGACTTTGTATCCTCAATCAACTTCAGTGAGCTGATTGCAAAGATTTCTGGGAGTTAGTTGAAAGCTGTAAGCCCTATCAATACGTTTGTTTCTGTTTTGCCAACATCCATTCTAGAATAAGCACTCACCTCACTGAGATGACATGTAGTCTAGGGCTGGATTGTGATTCTCTGTCAACGAGGCTGGCACTATGAAACTGCTACGCGACTTGCATGCTTGCCCGTCGTATTGCTGACCCGTATGATGAAGATCCTGCAGTGCTTTTCCCGCCTTATCTCTCTGATGCACTCATGGTGTTCTAGCATGTGTACACACACCAGAACAAGTCTGGGCAGAACAAGATCACTGAAGAACAAGACTCGCACGTTAGGCTTCCTGTGCGGCCACAAGTGGAAGCGCGTCTGACTTTTTCTCTCTCCTATTGGGCACTCGTTTCTATTTTCGGCCATAGGTTGATAAAGATGTCATATATATATTTACCAAACACGGCAGCCTGCAGAGGGCTTCACTTGGTTGTGCAAATTGATACAATAGTAATACATGAACTGCATGACGTAACGTGTGCTGCACGCTTTGCCATCAGTGTTTAATCTTTTTTCGCACCCTTGTCGTGCCGCGACCCGGGGTCAGGAGCGGGGGGCCAGGAGCGGGGGGCGCGAGGGTGAGCGTGGGGCTACAGGTGCTGGGGACTTTAGGGTCAGGATTGGGTATCAGGACGTGTGCTTGGTGTCGTTGCAGAGGCTGGTAGGTGAGATGAGTTGTTTGTTTGGTATGTTTAGACCTTGTGTATTTTTCAATACTGATTTTCTACATCAAGCCGACAACGATTGGCTTTTTACGAGTCCTCGAGCCCCAGAGAGCTATTACGTTCCTCAGGCCCGAGCCGATACTCGTTGAGAATCATTGAGACGGCAGGCATTCATCATAACATAGCGCCTAATATTATAGTGATGTGAGCGACAGGATCTTATTTATATATAGACCTCCTGAACTGATGCAAGTGTGATGAGAACATTCCATGAATAGTAATGAAAGTCAAATACCCAAAATTACTCAATATGCACTCCTATTACCGATGCGGGAACCGTGAGGCGATGAGCCCACTAGATGGTGATGTATTTAACATGCACAACTCGTTACGCCAGGTTCACCTTTCACCTATCCTCCGAATATGACCGTAGTCTCAGACGATCCAACTTGGTGGCCAGTAATTGAATCATATAGCCTCTGCAGCTATTTCTTAGGTTCGTGTAGAGTTAGGCATGATGCTGGTTGCATTCTAACCTTCAGTGTGGTTTCGCAGTTGCTGCCTGTACCGTGGTGATATACGATTGGGGTGAGCAAGACAGTATTCAATAACTGCTGGTATCCTTATGATATTTCTAGCAATCAGTTTGGGGAAAGAGGTATGGTGATACCATCGCTGGAGCACCTCTTACTGATGGTGGTTTCATACTAGTATGAACTGATCTGGGTGAGAAGAGTCCCGTATTAGAAGACCAACATAGTAATACAATGCACTCGGGGCAGGGGCAACGCTGGTCCCCAGTGACTATTCTATATCTCGGTGTATGTGCATTATGTCATGAGCGCCGTTGGCAAGTCGTGCTAACTTGGAGATATTTTAGGTGCGCTACCTTGGAATGCCATACACTGTGTATGTTTGCAAGGCTACCAAATGGTGCAGTACTAATGAGCCTTCTCTCGCGATCAGCATTTATATGCTGGGTATGCCTCACATACATTGTGTTCATTACTTCTGACTGGCTGGGTACAGAAAGTCTGCCGACAATCTCCATGACAGATAAAGTGAGTGGTCTGCATCAATGCATACGTTCCTGTCCAAACAGCTACGTTCCTATGTAGGGGTGAGTGAGGTTGCCGACTTGGTTCAATATAATGACCGCAATAGCTGTGAGTTTGTTTTGAATGTTTGGTCCTCCGAGGCTCATCATTACCTGGGGTTTTGCAGGCAATATCCTGTACACCACACTAACTTGGACGACCGTAGGTCGTAAATGCCATGCTGGGCAGTGAGTCAACTAAACTGAAGTGTCTCAATGATATTGAACTGACCGAAACATCATGCAAGTCATCATTATCACTCGGTTGCATGCGATGTACCAGCAATCCAGGAAGATACTTGTCTTTCTCGTTGTAATCTTCCTGGTTGTCACAGGCACCTGCGGAGTGATCGCCGCAATAGGAAGCAAGTATACTGTAGGCCGTAAGTTTGAATAATGGTCGAAAGACTTGAGTGCGCGAGACTCATCAGACGATTACCAGAGGAGCTCATCCTTTCCGGAAGCCATCAGTGCTCTTATACATACGAGGGAGTCTCCGGGCTTCTGGATGCTTTAGCTTGGGTATGTTACACTGTATGGGAGGTCCTCACACTGTGTCTTGCAATCCGGATTGCTATACAACACTTCCGTGCACTGCGCCATTCACCGACTGGATGGACCATAAGAGACTCTTTGACGGTGATGATAAAAACTCACGTGGTTTACTTTGCTAGGTGAGTTCGTGGTTTCAATGCGGTTGTATTTTAACGCTAAAGTTCCGGACGCACCAGCTTTGTTGCTGTTTCTTGTTTCCAACTTGGTTATCTCTCTCCAGGGATCATGGTACGCTGATATTTCACTCAGTGATAGCTGCATGTTCATCGTATCTACAGTATTCATCTTCGGTGGGATCTGATGTCTACGCTGGAATCCTGGAATTTGTCTCGATCACACAAATGTTTGTGCTTGGACCACGCCTCATCCTTAGCGTTCGGGACTTTAACGCTAAGCTGGTCACCGACTCCGATGCAGGAATCGACATGCCCTCAATGGTTTTCCAGGAGGGCGGCCGTGTGTAGCACTAGAAATGATCCAAGCAACTAAAGACTTGTCGGGTACTCTGCCAGGGGCAGCCGCCTGAGGAATACGTGAATACGTAGCTTGAAGTCGTGCCAGTGGTGCTTCAAAGTACTAGTATATTTAACAAGAGAAATAGGTGTGGGAAAAGTAAAACCAATCACATGTCGTATCTACTATCACTACTTTCTGGAACCGGCTAAATCCAGTGCACTCTGCGCCGTTATACATTCGTGTGATATTATATGACAGACCACCACAAGTACAGACGATGCCTACTTCGAATTCATCATCGCTCGAAGATGTCCTTCTCTCGCTGTGTTCACGCTTTCAAACGAGCAGTGAAATGGTTCAGGGTGACTTCGGCAGAGTTAGTCAGACGTTCTTGAATACATATTAGGTCACTTACATCGCCGTGCCAGTGCAGAACTCTGGCTTCACCTCAATCCTGTCCCCGTTTGAGTCTTTGGCATGATCGATGCGCAGGACGGCGAGTGTGGCAGAAGCTGCAGTCCACAGACTGTTCTCTGCAAACCATCGACCTGCCAAGGGTATTTGTCATCCTCAACAATGCCAGGTGAACTATGAATCAGCCTACCAGGACAAATACGCCTACAGGGATCAGTGAGTAATTGAATATAATAGCAAGTACGGAATATTCACCTGCCGTGACCAAAGGCAACATGGTTGGCGAAAGAATCCTTCAGCTTCCCGTCAACTGTTAGATGGCGACTAGGATCGAAGCGTGATGCATCGGGAAACATGTCTTCATCCCGAGACAGTGCCCTGAGCCATGCTCAGTTCAAGCCGTCACATACACTCCGCTGTAACATACCACTGATTAACTATTACTATCGCACCTGACCAAGCTACGGATGAGTCAACGGCAACCTTGACTCATACGACTTCGAACCTTTGGGTATGAAGTGCTCGCCATAAACATCATCATTTGATGTCGCATGTGCAACTCCTGTACCAGGGGTCAATTATTCAGAGTTAATATTTGTGCAGACTGACCTAGGGGGACGACAGGATGCCATCTCAGAACCTCGCGGAGAATAGCATCAAGGTAGGGCAGTGACGCCCTATCATCAAGACACGGCATTTTATCATGCCTCACAACTTGATCGATTTCTGCACGAGCACGGGCTTGAATGTCAGGATAGAGCACCATAGCCAGCAGGAATATCTGCAATGTGGACGTCGTCTGCGGGATATCAAAGTAAGAATCAGAATTGCTTAAGGAGCGACTCACGGTTTCTATGCCAGCTAAGATGCCGATCTGTGTCAATGGATGAATTCTGTCCTGGTAAAAAAACTCTTACCAATGTATCCCATCAACGCAACAGCCTTCATCGTGTCTTCGTCAGCGTCGTCGTGAGCTTGACTGAGAAAGTCAGCGACTAATGAGTGTGAAGCAGTACCATTTGCCTTCACGCAAACAGATCAGGCGAAAATTCCATCCACAACTCTGCGCAAACGTACTATCTGGCCCTTCACTTCGTCAAAGGGCTCGTTCAAAAGCTGTTGAGCTAATTCTCTACTGCGTCCCATCAGGGAAAGTGCTCCACCGAAGCACCAAAATGGCAGCTTTTCGACTGCAACCTCATGCTGAATGCTCAGAATTATGTCGTCAACAGAGGCACTCACGGAAAGGAAAGGCTGTGAACATGGCAGCCCTCTCTGGAGAAACAATATGTTTGGCAA